AAATTTCACGATCTAATGATGGTACTTAGACCTTAAATTTATTTTCCCCGCAAGAGTTTCCAATAGAAACGTTTGTTTAAGGCTGTGCCAATTGGTTGGAAAGGAGTATTTATGGTGAAATAAATGTGAAATTAGATAAGTTTTCGGCATTGAAATAGAAGTCTTGTTTCGACTCTTTTTGAACGGACTGTTTTGCTGTTTGGATTCATTTACTTAGTTAGACCATTTTCTTTCATTCTAGATAGTTTTAAGAACAAAACTTAACATTTTTTTATCTATAAGATATTTAATCAAAATGGCACTGTCAATATGTCGATATGTCGGATTGAAAATACAGACGAAGGAAATAAGAACTTCGAGGGCATTATTGTAGAATAATGCACGCTTCCCGCCTTATTTGTTTATATAGAACATTTTCCGATATTGTAAGAATGTGAACTATAGCGCGCTTCCGGCCTTCTTTGTTTCTATAGAGTAATCCTCGATAGTGGTAGAATGTTCCATTTGGAATGACTGCATGTTTTTAATATAAAATCTATGAGATTTTTTCGAGTTTCATAAAAATGCTATAAAATTTATAGTGGTACTTCAGTTTCACGCTTTGTAAACAGTCAGTGTACATATATATCGTCTACAGAGGGTACTAACTGTACATGCGCGACTGTTGTAGCGGGTTTTTTTTCTGTCTGTCCCATGAGACTGTGCGATCTTTTTTTATGAATTTCTATTCAATTATTATTGATTTCAAACAATATTTATCTGTAACCTTTCAATTAACATAATAAAGTACAGTGTACATAAAGAAAAATAGAACTTATTTTATTTTATTTTAAACTCTCTCCGTAAATAATTATTTAAATAGAATTTACATCCGGTTATGGTTTAAGTGTCATAATAAGCTCTCACGCATGTTGATTTTATTTCAGTAGCGCGAGAATGAATGGCGTGGTTAGGCTGGCTATTGTAACCTTTCTTGTAAGGTAAACACTTTCTTATTGATAAGTTTTTTTAATTGTTGTTTGGTAATAAATTATTTGTTTGTTCCTCCACTTTTTTTTATTTATTTTCCGCTGATCTAGTTTCGCTGATCTATTATTATTATTATTATTACTTGTATTGAAATAAATGTATGTTTTGTAGTTGTTGTTTTTTGTACTTTTTGTCCAGTAGAAGTTAATACGTTTCTAGCATTTATATGAATGTCAATTACTAATTTATAACTGTTAAAAAGTCTTTATTTATACGTATACCTAGACGTATAAACTTATTTTTGAATAATGTTTATATTGTTTTCCCGATAATCATTTAATCTTTTTTGTGTCATACATTTTTCTTTATGTTATACAATGTTGTTTTGTTGGACGATAACTTGCACTTTCCAATACCGCCCATGAACAGGCTCATTCAAACCGAGCTTGCAACATTTTAAATAATGTTGCTGTTTTGGTATTTTCTGTTGTTTTCTTTGCTTGCTTTTTTTTTGGTCACATCTGTTTTATGTGTGCTGTGTCGCGGACGGACGTAAACTGCCGTATCGTATATAAGTCAAAGATGTTATATTTTCGATCCTTGAAGACCTTTAAGCACGACATACAATTGTTGTTGGTGCATGTTTGAGGTTCTTTTAGTTTCTCTATTTATTTTTTTCTAGTTGGATGGTTCCAGTATTCCGCCTTGAATACTGTATAATGACACTAAGGGTATGTTGTCTGCCTTTTAAATTTTGACGTCTTATCGCTGATATGCAGGCTTCATAACTTCTAGTCCACGTTCAAAAGTCCATTTTATATAGTTCCTTTCGCAAACATTGTTCAGAACAAATTCAAACTGGGCAAGCTACACGTTTGCCGTTTTTGACATTCTTTAGCGATTTGGTGTTTATTTTCATTATCATCATCATTCTTCTTCTACTACTTCTTTTTTAATTATTATTATTATTATTATTATTATTCAAATAAATGGACTAGATCATTATAATAGTAATAAAGAATATTTTCCAAAGGCTAGAAAATAAGTCATAGGACTCCAATTAGGTTTTGAAGGGGCAAGACATATTTTTCCGATATTGTGAATCATTTGATGTAGTTCTTGACCAATAACTTTCGTGCACATCATCAGATTATTATTTTCACACCCTGTTTTTTTTCCAGAATTATTGTTTTTGTAGTGCAAAATGTCCCAAAAATGAGGTTGAAACGCTCTCTGTCAATTTATGTTAGGAATCCAACAAAATCAACTTTCAATTTGATTCCGAACATATTTTTTTAATATATTTTCAGATTTTTCTGTTTTAAGTGCTACAACTATTTTGTTTCAAATGTTATGTTTAAAGCTTTTTACCACAGTATGGGTTCTTAAAGAATGACCAATTAAATGTCTTAATATGAAAAACTGAAAATGTGATAGTTATAGCAGTACAATATCATTAAATTAATAATCATAGCCTTAATATTCTTTGTCCTTTCACATAATTGCCACCACGTAATGGAAAATTAATATGTAAACCATTTGGATATTAATCTATTTACGAACATATTGCATGGCTACTTTATATAACAGATTTATATTTGTCATATTTGTAATTGTACGTTAAAATCAAACAGTTCATGCTTCACTTCATTTATGATTAAGATAATAATACACATCTTTATGAGAGAACATTTTATAACTTAATAAAACTTAAAATATTTATGGCAATTATATAGTTATCCAATTTCATAAAGATATGAAACAAACAAACAAACAATATATATATATATAAATATATATAAAATAGATATAAATAAAGATATAAATATGAATTACTTAAATTCACTGAAAATACTAAATAGATTAATTCTTGTAGTTTGTAATATTACTATTGATTAACCTGTACTTTTTAAGACACGTGCTTGGAGAATGGAGAAAAAAGACAAACAAACACATTTACACTTAATTATTAAAATTTTAACAATACTCTTAAGGTCAGACTTAACAGGCCATTACAACTTCATTATTATTTCTTATAGCAATGTATTAATAAGTCCGATACGAGTTTGACCAGCAAGGTAAATATATTTAAAAAGGATTTTTTGAAACGTTATTTTTCGAATTAAGAAGCTGTGTAAATTTGAACATGCTAGGACGCCTATAAAAATAAGGTTTGATGTACTGTAGTCGCAAAGTGTGATAAGCGTTACATTTAAGAATAAAATTTTATTCATCATCAATGTCGGATGAACCACAGATTTGGCAAGTTCGTTGTGTTCTTTCAATTCAATTTCTAACATGTCAGCCGGTTTCTAAACGTAACGTGTGTGCTGACACACGAATTCGTGTCAATGATTGACCTATTTTTTTCGTTTTAATTTTATGCAAGTAATCACTGATGACGAACTCATCCTTAATGAAAACATATAAATTATTTAAAAAGTTGTTATCACGCAGATCCGCTCGCCATTGTTGTACATAATAGTCTATAAGCCGCTGTTTGAATACAGGGAGAACATGAGAAACTAATACACTGTCTTGAAAATCACAGACGTCTGAAAACCCGTGCAAGTTAAAGTTTAACTTTATTGGCTGAATTGCTCATGTAACCATTTAAACATTTCTTCAACGATTCGTTATACGCGTATCTAATTATTATGTTATCCGTATTTAAAAGATGCAGCCAAAATATATATTTTGAAAATACCTTGTTATATACAAAGGGTACCTTGCTAATGCCCCATAAACTACTGCATTACTATAGTTTGTCCCACACAATTTGAATATTCCATTTTTTATTAAATATAATATTAAAATCATTTAAATTAATGTCATGTTAATCCTGACGTCAATATCCCTGGGCATGTTTTTCATTTTTTCCATAAAGTCAGTAATATGGTCAAAATGTTAGAATTGTATCTCTCCCCCCCCCCGTTGACTTACGTTGTAACCTGACGTGACTTCCATTCAAAATGGCGGCGTCCATACAGACGTCATTTAGATTCGTCTCACAATTAGCGTGAAATGTACTCGGAAATTATAGAAAATTGATTATTCTTATTTACTTACTGATCAATAGTTAAATGTTATCATTAAAATGAAAAATGAGACAGGGTGTCAAAAAGGCAATTTTACTAGGAAACCATTATTTAAAATAATCAATTTAAAATCATTTGAAGAGAAATATCGGTAACCGCTTTATAAATTGTAACACACAAAGATTTATATAATTATATAACTACCATGATATACTGTCTGATTTTGATTTTTTGTAGAGAAAAAGAGCAATATTGCATGAAGTGAATTTAATTAGAAAGCCTTTTCAATCAAGCGCGCCCTATATTGAATACCGCCCCAACGCGTCGCTAAGGGAACGGGGAACACTAGCCCCCCTAGAAAGACTTAAAAAATGGTTCTTCGCCTAATGTTTAATGTCTGAAATTCTGTCCATTATATGTATCGGTCAATTTAAAATAATTAATATTACAAACCCATATGTATACCTTCTTATTTTGGGTGCCGATGTTTCGTGCGCTAAAAACTTTTCCGTAGATTTAACTTTCACAACAAAAACCCCTGACCGTTAGAAATCGCCAAAACAAATATTACTTTATCAATGCAAATCTGACAAGAAAGTATATTAGAAAGGGGAACTGATTCACTTAAAATATTGTTCAGTATTGGTTTGCCTCAGGTGTCGTAACTTTAACTAACTCATTCAATAAGAGAGAACCCACAGACTCGCGTGTAAGGAAAATGTAAATTATAAGAAGTATAAACTATGCTTTCCTAGTTTTGAGCCAACCAAACGGGTTGGCCTATACACTTTAAGCTCGTAAAATTACAGATTAATTTTCCGTCTCATTATTTAACAAAATGTCCAGAAATACCGGCAGTGATTTGATATTATTAAGAATAAGATTGAATTGGAGCGTTCAATAAGGGACAATAAGTTGTTCGGGTTTGTTTTGTAGACTCAAAGTGTTACATACTATGTTAATATGAAGAGGAGATCGAGTCAAAGAGAAACACAGAGTGATGTCCTCAATAATTTTAGTATTCATGAAATTTGAAATTATTCAGTGAAAAAACAATAGCTATATTTTTCGCGGGAGAAAAAATACCGCATACGGTATATTTTGTACCTAAAAGAGTAGGATTTACAGAACTCTTGAATAACGAGATAATTTGTAGGGAATCATTTCTGAGAGATATATAAAATAGTTTAAAAACATAAAATCAAAACGAAGGTTATATGTGAATTAATGGAAGAAGTATTGTACTGTCATAGATTCATGTCATTAAGTGTGTTTAAAGTTATTTATTACTAATAAATGTTATCAAAAGTTTTATTGTTAATATATGAATTGAAGGTGTACTTTTAACAATAACTGCAAAATCTGGGTATACAAAAATTATTTTAAATGCCATCAAGACAAATTTATCTCGCTTAAAATTATCTGTATGAGGTAACATATGCTTAACCGCCCTTTGTCAATGCCGCACCTGGAATCATCTATAAAAAGCGCGGGGCATTTTGTTACGTCATATATTTCGTAAAATGTTGTTGACGTTATAATGTTTTTTTCGTCATGAGTTATAAACATTCTGCTCTTGAACTAAAATTGATGGGCCGTTCTTAAACTATGGACTTGGAACATACTGAATTATGATGTGTTTCATTTACATATTTCATTTGCTAACCCAGATAAGTGCATCATAAGTGTAGTAGTCATGCCATTCAGGAGTTTCAAAGTAAAAAAATGGGATATGCGGAACTGGATAGAAACTGGCAAAGAAGGATTGCGAATTTGTCTTGACGTTTATAAAGATCTATTTCGAAATTCATAGGGATTCTATTCAGCTTAAAAGTAAGTGCAATTTCTAGATCCACTCCATTATCCATGTGACTCAATGTTCTTGTTGCTTATTATTCATTTTTTTAAAGTTTTCTATCATGCATTGCAACTAAACTGTTACATCTTGTAGATTCAGCTTTGTAAAATAATCATGAAACGACCCCGAGAACATCATGTACATTTTAGAACCATGACATGTGCTTTCTCCCGTTCATCTTAAAATGAAAAGAACTTCGGCAATGGCTACGGAAAATAAACAACAGAGACTTGCCGTAGAGAAATGAAACTTTGCTTTTACAAGAAAATTAGACACTTTAGAAAAAAATCCTGAAAAATCTTGAGGGTGACTTTTGTTTAGTTTACAAAAAGTTTAATTTTTATTCAACGTCGTTTTGTTAAGTCATACCAGGCAAAAGTTCATTTCCATTTTTAATGGGACAGACTATACTGTAGTGCTTTATTTACTCCAAAAATTGCTTTTCAAAAACGCAAAAGTTTGCGCTTTTTTTCCTTCGTTTTTGAAAAACCCCATATCGGAAAGGCATAATTTTAAAATAGAACCTAGGAATGCTTTCTTAAATAATGGGTCTGTCGTTTCTATTATTGCTGTTGAAAATTGAATAATTGCAGTGTCTATATCCAAAGAGTCGTTACAATAGTATCATTAAATATATTAAGCTTTCCAATTAAACCATTTCTAAAAGATTCCATTTTTTCATCATCCCATTTGTAATATGTATAATTTTCTGATTGCGTTTTGTTGTTTTCAACTTTTGTAAGTAGTGCAACCTGTTTCCATTTATACTGAATGTTAAAGGTGCGTGGTCACTGAAAGCGCTGAATGGCAAGAGTTTAAACGAATTGATAGTTTAATAGTCTGTATATTTTAACAAAAGAACGTCAATAACGCTACATGCATTACGGTTAAATGTGTACGCGTCTGTGTTTACGTATCGCCCGTTAGCAATTCGTAAACATGTCGCTTAACACATTTTCGCTAACAATTTTAATCCACGGCTATGTCATATGTTATCACATGAGGTCCTTGGAAGGGTCTCGTCAGGTATATTACTAGTATCATCGGGGAAATTTACCGTCGAGTCACACATTATATAATCGGGCCTAACTCCTACTCTAAAATACAAATCCCCCGCCAAATGTCACTTTTTGACACTATCCCTGTTGACTGAATTTATATCTTTAAAAACGTTACTACAAGAACCAAACAGTATATTATTAGTCTCCTTCAAAACTTCGCTCACCGATTTATTATGTTTGTTTGTCCAAAATATCTAAATAACACCGGGAAAAAACTATTTTGCTCATTTATTGATTTAAAACTGGCATTTGATACTGTGTGGGGAAAAAAGTAATTAATGCTAATATACAAGGAAAATGTCTGCAGGTTATACAAAATATGTACAAAGGAATAAAATTATGTGTGAAGGTAAATTCTCAACTGTCTAACTTTTTCTCATGTAATATCGGTGTCCGTTAAAGGGAAATTTTACATCCCTTTACACTGTTCGATGTATTTAAATGACCTTAAAGATTTCTTTCAAAATAATAGTAATACATGTGGATTTTTGCTTCATAATGATCAGAAAATAAACGACCTTTACATTTATTTTACAAATCGTTATTCTGTTATATGCAGATGATACTGTTATTATGACTGAGAAAGCAAATGACATAAAAGAAGCACTTTATACATATAAAAGACATTGCGATATTTGGAAATTTACAGTCAACATTTCTGAAACCACGATAGATGTATTATCAAAAGGGAGACACCGAAATTATCATTTTACTTATAAAAATGAACCAATCGAAATTGTAAATGAATATAAAGATCTCGGCATATTTTAAAAGTTGTGGTTCTTTTGCTAAAACTGAGACACATATTGCAGAACAAGCTACAAGATCGATGTACAACCGAATAAGAAATTCAATTTGGATTAAATTTACCAACTGACTTACCAAACTGAACATTTAATAAAACAGTTAAAACGATATTATTTTATGGAAATTCGGGGATACGGTAATCTTTACGTTATTGAACGCGTACAGCTCAAATTTTAAAACATATCCTGAAACGTTCTAGGGCCAGTTATTTCATATACGGTGAAACGGGATGCGTGACATTGTAGATATCGGGGAAAGAATAGTTTCATTTTGGGCGTCTCCTTCAGAACGAATATGGTTTAATACCAAATAATAATATAAATTGTCATCCTTTGTATATCATTATATACTAAGAAGTACAATAAATGTTTATAATAATGATTTTGAACGTAATTATCCGTGGATTTATAATTCAAAATAAATACTAATAAAATGCGGTTTCAACAATGTTTGGAATGATCGATACCAAATGGTTGAAATTAGCAGTAAGACAAAAGCTAAAAGATCTTTTCTTAAATAAATGGTATTCAAAGATAAATAAATCGAGCAATAGTTATTTTTACTTTTTTTTTTAAAAAAAAGTCTTTTGGAATTGAACCTTATCTCTCGTACTCTCAAAATGCAATAATTTTAAGTTTATCAAATTCAGAACAAGAAACCATAGATTACCAATTAAAACTGAAAATTGGACAAATATACCTGTTAATGAAAGAATGTGTATTTTTTTGTAGAAATATAATTGTTGATGAGTTTCATTATCTTTTGAATGTAATAGATTTTCAAATGAAAGAAGAAAATATATATAACCCTCTTTTTATAGACGTCCTAATATGTATAAATTATAGCAACTTTTTTCAATGAACGATTCACCAGTATTGTATAAACTATGAAAATTCCTTATGATAATAATAAGAAAGGTAATAATGTAATCACATATTTATGTTTGCATTTTAAAGACAGTTGTGATTTTGTAATGTTCTGAGATATGATTTTGTTTTACCTATATTCAGTTATCACTTTCTTACTATACATCAAAGGTCCTTTATGCAACAGATATACTTTTATTTTCATTTCTCAAAAGCTTAATTAATTGCTGTACTTTTATAGTATTTAAAAGATTAATCACCGGCTTATAACATAATCCATTTTTTTCCATTTTGTCGTCTTTTAGAAATAAATACAATTATAGTGGATTTTGTTAGGAAGTTTAAATACTGAGATACTGTGTTTACATTTCAAAAAATTTTATGAAAAATTATATCACACTTATAGCTACTTTCTTCTGGTAACAACTATAGAACATTCTGTTAAAGCAATATTTAAATGTTGTAAAATTCATATTTGCCCTTTCTAAAGAAGTTAGAAAACATTGTTTCTAAGGCATAATGTTCATCTAAGTAAATAACATGTAATAGATATGTAATAGATATGTAATAGATATGTAATAGATATGTTGATAATGTTTAGTAATTATAGTCTCAATTATGATCTCAATTTGTATAAATGTCTCGTTAAACATTTTGACATTTATCCTCATATTACATGTTGTATGCATGTATGAGTAAATAAAAAGATATGTTGTTTTAAACAAATTATACATTGTAAAAATTTACTTTTAGCATTAATAACTGTTTTATAAACAGCATAATTATATAACAGTAAATCCGAAAAATATCACATTGACACCGAGCTGTTGAAACATATATTATCAAGCGTCTTTATGTAAGCATGGTTCCCGGTCTTAGATTTGACTTAGAGGTTTAAATCGGAAACCATACCAACATAGTTTAGTGCACATGTACCCAACCGTCCAATATGAATATAATATATTTCCTTTGGATCCAATACGGGAATATATTTGACGGTCACGAGGTACAAATGCAGATTGTCGACTGGCTAGATTTATTCGATATATAATAATTGTATTCATGGCTATCATTAGATTGTAACTGGTAAACATTAAAAAGAATTGTGTCATGTCATAGTAAGCATTTTTTTTTAATCGTTAAGATATTTAATTTTTAACCTTCCTTTAGATAAATTCATTTATAATATTTGTTTATTAAGTTTCAACAATTATCAAATGCCATGTCATGTTCGAGTGATGTGGTTGTATAAATAAATTGTGTTTATCAAGGAAGTCTTCCTCGTGTAAAATAGTGTTTGATCGGTCCGATAAATTGAATATAATTATACTTTTACATCAGTATAGGTTTATCAACCATAAACTATTGTGTTAAAATGTACTTATTATATTATCAAACTTTTGACAAAATCTCTGTTTTGTTCACTTTTCAAAGGAACGACATTCAACGTAAATTCTTCGGAAGTTATTTATCGTTTATGCTTTAAAAACACCAAAATATTCTTTTTTCTGAACTTGATTCAAAAACACATGACTTGGCTGAATACAAAACTTGCCTATCGTATTTATCTAAATGCAGATGCTTCTCAAGTCTCTGTTAAAATTTGTATGCATAATGCGTATAGATATCATAAAAGGGTATTTCATTTACAGTTTGTTGCATATTCGGTATACATGTTTATCAAATATTTTGAAGGCCACGTTTTATAATGTTAAACGGTCGTGGGGTATCAAACGATACAAATACAGTGTAACAACAGTTCTGATATTATTGCAATACGACGTCAAAACATAACAAAAACAATCATATTCAGATATATTTAATTAACGTATTAAGATATATATTTAAAGAAGGAATGTTTCAACAGAAGTGCTGATTGATTAATCAATAACATGCATGACTTAAAACATGATTATCTTCGTTGTTTAAATGGCTGAAGACAGCAAAAACGCACGTGACGTCGTGCATGATAGTGGCGTCAATTAGCCGAACGTAAAAAAAACACACAACGTTTACTACTCATTGTGAATCATTTTAATTTTCATCTTCATTTGTTTCTTTTGGTTTTTCTATTCTATTCTGTATAATAGTTTCAAGTTTATTGTAATGTCATTCAAGGCCATCGGCCCAAATACACAATATAATAACAGAAAGATACATGTACATCTGATTGCGTCACAAGTTATGAAATACAAAATAGTAGCATATTCCATATTTTTGAACATTATACAACAAGGTAGA